GACGAAATTTGTAGCATCACCGCAAGTTTAAATCAGTTTACAGAGATAACTACGAATATGAAGCAAAAACGGAGTCGAAATAGCAGAACACTTTGAAATATTTTGTTTAAATTCGATATTTGTATCAAAATAGCAGTTCTGGGACATTATCCAGAGATAATTACGAACGTGGAGAAAAAACGGAAATCGAAATAGCGGAATGTGCTCAAATACAAAATTTTAGATCAAATTCTTCGAAATTTGTGTCAAAATGCAAGTTTAAGTCAGTTTACAGCGATAACTACGAGTATGATTCGAAAACGGCGTCGAAACTGAAAAACTCATTGAAATTCAGAGTTTCGGTGTAAAATCTACGAAACTTCCACCAAAATCACAAGTTTTGTACAGTTTACAATAAAAACTACGAATATGAAAGAAAAATTGCGTCAAAATAGAAAACCTCATCGAAATAAAAGTTATCTGAAAAATTTACGAAATTTCTACCAAAATCAAAAATTTTGTTCAGTCATGGACGAGGTATATGCATAGACACCGACGAGGTATACCTCCGTCTATGCAAGTTAGTCAATGCTAGTACACAAAAAAGCATTGAATATCCAGTCTATGCTAGTTAGTCAATAATTCTACTCTACGTCAGAAAGAACTCTATCCATGTTTTACGAATTTATTCAATTTACTAATTAGTCAATACTTGCATAGAGCGGACATTAAATAGAGTTTTGTGTTTCAGGGTCTGAAATACCGACTAGGAAAAAAATCACTGATTTTTTAGCGTCCTTTATGTTTTAAACAACAATTTGAGAACTAAATTAGAAAACTACGTCAAATGATACAATTTGGTTCAAGAAAATGATATCCTTTACAATGTTATCAATTGTATATATCTTCAGCATATACGAGACAGAAATACATATATTCGAGATACATATATCTCGTTTATGCCACTAGATTCCGATACAAGAAATTAGTATCTAAAATTAAATTTTAGATTATTTTATATTATACATCTATGTATATATATCACAAAAAGCTCTATCCGTGTTTTAATATTAATATACATTTCATATATATAATCATAAGTATAATTTATACTTCATTGTTTTTAAAAATGATTTTTAAAATGGTTTTTATTTTTATTGGCAATTGATGATTGACTACCGTATATTTATTTAATTTTAAATGACCACTGATCGAAATAAAATTTGAAGGGCGTGAGATGTGAAACTCCAAAAATATAAAATTTTGGCTTCGAGAATTTTCTGTTTGGAAGGTAGATCCTTCAATTTTACGAGATCTATTATATAAAGTCTATTATATAAAATAAGGACAAGCAATTAGCTAACGTTAAACCCGATGTAGACAACCGATTTATCGCAAATCATCGCAACAGTGATTCTTTTAAAAGAATAGAAATATAATATTCTCTTATCCTTCTTTTTATGAAACAAAAGAAGTTTGTATTTCTGTTCTTTCAAAACACCACCTCTTCACTTGCACATGATATAAAAATATTCTCAATGAAATAAAAGTTCAGAGTGATAGAAGGAAAATCTTTATATTTTAAAAAGAATTTAAGTAAAGTGTTAGATGATTCTTTTTACGAAGTTATGATAAGATCTTGTATTTTTAATTATTCTAAAAATTTGTTCAAATTACCCGCGTAAGAGTAAGTTAAACATTTCAAGGTTGAATCTGATCGGATTATAATTTTAATCGATAATTTTAATCGAGCTCGAGCGAATATCTGACTCTAAGCAACGAACAATCATGCAGTCACCTATTTCAACATTTCATGGACAGGACCGATCGATAGAACAGAAATGTGTCAACCATGTTCAATTTTTAGGTTTGGCAACTATGCTCCCGTCAGGAAATTCTAAACTGTCCCTACTCATTTTCTATTTGTTATTCTGCACAATGAGAATTGTGATGAAAGCAAAG